AGCGCCTTTCCAGTGGTACGACATTCTTCGTTCGGGCATGAGTGATGTACTTGTGGTGCTTTGCATGTGTGTCTACGGCCGATGTTTGCGATTCTATCGTCAATGATTATTGCTTCTGTCCCCACTGGCAGGGCCTATTGCAGTTGTTATTTTTTAGTGTTCTGGGAAAAAAAGGGAGGCACTCACAGCTACGGCCAGTGGGGACAGAAACAATAATCATTGACGACAGAATCACAAACATCGGCCGTAGACACACATGCAAAGCACCACAAGTACATCACTCATGCTCGAACGAAGAATGTCGTACCACTGGAAAGGCGCTTACGGGAGGGACGGAGTCAATACTCACTTCCGCTTCCCCGCATTGGGAACGCCGATAGTTCTAGTACCCTTTGTAAGATGCTTCCTGTACTAGTCAATACTTCACTTACGCCCTCGATACGCTGACACCCTACTCCAACAGGTGCAATGTCCTGGCGGGTTACAGTGGTAGTTGCTAGAAGCAACAATCATTAAATTTTACAACAAAAGCAATAAGCTACCACTGGGGACAAGCTTGGTAGGTCAAGGTCGCCGTTTTTGCCCCCAAGAAATTTGGGTCATTTATCGATTCACGCGTGTCATCGTTGCGAAGGGGCAATGCAATCTTTTGTGTATCGTTTCAATTTTAATGGATGTCCCCAAGGACAGGGTCTAAGGCCTCTACCAGCAGACATCTGCACCTGGCTCAGGTGTAAACAGTAACAGATCTGTCTTTGCCTGACAATGCTGTAGCGGTCAACATTCTCTGTGATGCTAACTGTCTTTCAGTGTGTGATACCAGTATGTATATTGTGTGTATATATATATATACAAGGTTGCCGACGTTCGGGAGGGGTCGAACGCCAGAACGTTCGGCACCCCCTCTCGACGCGTTCGGCCGTTCGGCTGAACGCAGACTTAAAAAAAAATAATAAAAATAATATTAAAAAAAATCTGAAAAAAATATATGTTATGCAGAAGAATAAACTAAACAACATGTGCCTCAACGTTACATCCACATTCTTTACCAAATTTGAAATAAAAATCAAGTACTAAAAATAAATAATAATAATGAAAATTAGAAAAAACAAAAGGAGAATGATTTCTTTTTTTTCTTTTTTTTAACAGCAAAACTTCGTATATGGGAAACCTACGAAGAGAGGTGATAAGAGCATCCCGGGTAAGTAGGCCCCAGCGTCGAAGGCTCCATCTATTGGTGGGGAGCTACACCTGCTGGAAATCGGGTCCAACGTCCCTATACAAATGATGAAAATATATCTGCCGGAAATCAGGTCCAGCGTCCTTGTGCCAGAGTGTGAATGTATGTGCTGGAAAAAAAGTCAAGCGTCCCTATCGATTGTGATGTATAGAATCTTGCAAAGAAAATGAGGCATCAATCCTATCAGGCGAAACCCTAATCATGATGTAATATCTATACAAATGATGAAGCTATATCTGCTGGAAATCAGGTCCAGCGTCCTTATGCCATGGTGTGACTATTTGTGCTGAGGAATGAGTCAAGCGTCCCTATCGATCTGATCTATAGAACCACGCAAACAAAAAGACACATCAATCCTATCAGGCGAAACCGTAATCATGATGTAGTGTATATTACAGCAATACGACTAGTCTCTGCTGAAACACGGGTCCAACATCCCTATACCATGTTGTGTAAGATGTATTAACTATCATTCAAGCTTAAACTGCCCACCACCAGTCCAGCGAGGCGATCACCACCCCAGTGTTGATTGGTGTTGCGGGCCGGCTAACCCAATCATCACTGCCTAACCTACTCCTATCCTCCAGCATACAACGAAAAACAACTCCATATTGAGGCCCAAAAATATAACAAGGACGAAGTCAGAAAACCCATTTCCCGTGTCCACCCCCATTCCAACCGCGTCTGCCTGCGGTATCTTACCCATCATTCTGCTGCCATGGACATCTCCCTCTCCGTCGTCAACGCTTTTGTTGTTGTTGTTGTTGTTGTCGTCGTTTTGGTTGTCGTCTCCGTTATCATCCGCATCCATCTGCTGTATCATTCCCCTCATGCGGCAGCCGCGAAGGCCGCCTCCCCCATCATCATCATTATTGTTGTTGTTGTTATTGTCGTTGTTGTTGTTGTTGTTGTTGTTGTTGTTGTTGTTGTTGTTGTTGTTGTTGTCACCACCTTTATCATCCATGTCCACCTGCGGCAGCACACCCTTCATGCTGCTGCCCTGGACTTCGCCCCCGCCCTCGTCACCATTGTTGTTATGGTTGTTGTCGTTGTCGATATTGTTGTTCTCGCCGTCGTTGTTAATATTGCTGTCATCCTTCACACCCCGTTCGCCCATTTCTCCCAATCCCAAATCCTGCGCACCATCGTTCTTGTTATTGTTGCCGTTGTTGACGTCTATCGTATCTTCCGCGTCCACCTGCAGCATCACTCCCATCATGGCGGAGCCTTGGACGTCACCCCCTCCATGATTGTTGTTGTTGACACCAACCCCATCCTTGATGTCGCTGTAGCTGATGTTGTTGCTGTTATTTGTGTTTTCGCCGCAATCATCTTCAGTTGCCAGCAATTTTTACCTATACTCAACTCATTGAGTAGCTCCCCTTCCAAATCCATCTCTCCCCCCATTAGTTGTGCCACTCAAACAGTTTTACCGAATCCCACGGTTGGCGCTACCCCTGCTGACGTGTCACGGGATGTCACTATCACCAAACAAAAGGCGCCACGTGGCCAAAAGCCACTTCGCACTTGTTGGGCACATGCGCAGGTCCAACAGCCGGGGAGTTGTTCTCCCCAGTCCCTAGTCGAGCCGGGGTGACCGGGCCTAACCAGTCCGCCGGCGTCTGGGCACTAGCGCTAGCACAGCTCCACCATCTCAAATCTAGTACCTTTCCAACCGGTGCTCTGAAAACGAGAATGAAATTATCGAGTGGGCAAATAATAATATTTAGGTGCCAAAATAAGTTTTTGCAAGGTCCGAACCCCTTCAGGTTCGGGCCCCGTACGGGGACCCGAACGTCCGAACATTCGGGGGTCAGCTTAGGGGCCTTCGTACGTTCGGCCTGGCAACCCTATATATATATATATATATATATATATATATACACATGGTTACCAGCCCCATAAGTAAGGAGGCCCCCAGGCCAACCTCCAAACGTTGGGGCGTTCAAGGTCCCGTTCAGGGTCCGAACGTAAAGGGGTTTGGGGCCCGCCAAAAAATATTTTGGGGCCTAAATTTATTTTTTTTTCTGAAAATTTTCTTGAAAGTTATTTGTGATGTGAGGTACATGCCCATAAATTTGGGAGACATTTTGCTAAGTCAAATAGATAGAAAAATTGTCAAAGATAACGGTGTCAAAACGTGCTCACCTACTTACTATTTTTTTTTTTTTTCTCTTTTCACTTTTTGTTTTCACTTGCCTACACAATTTTTTAATGAATTTAAATTTCAAGTTTTACATCATGTGACATACACAATTATAAATTTTCAGGGCATTTCACTACGCCAAAAACAAGTAAAAACTCGCCAAAGATGGCGGTGTTTAAAATGTGCCCGCCTAAGGTCTGGTCCCACCTACGGTTGTTGAGTTTAGAAAACTTAACAGTGTAACGTCATTTCGACATTAATAAATTCGAAACAAAAAGTAAAAAACTAAAAAAAAAAATGCTAGAAACAAATTTTCTCCTTATTTTTTATAGCGTAACTCGAAGAAATGAAACATGTTTGGAACAGTCAGAGTGAATGTCTCCGTTAAAAGAGGGTACTCTCCGTGGTGAGGGGACAGGAGGTCACCATTTGAAAATGGACAGGGACGACGTGGATGGCCAAATGCATTCATTGCCCAAAGAAGGAAACGAGTTTGATGCCAGACAACCAAACACAGTTGTCAGAGTTCCTCCGTTTCAGGATGCAATGAGGTCTAAAAAACCAAAAAAAAGAAAAGACACTGTAGTTGAGAAATATACCCTACTTCCCGCCCAAACCAAAAGGGTCAACGCATACTACAAAACGAATTTCACGTCAAAGAAATATTTTACAAAATGACTAAATCTAATAGGTTATATTCCTGTATTTTGGTACCATTAGATTCGCAATACATCAATCGCAGAGCTCCATCCCACCATGCCACAAGTGATAGAAAGCGCTGTGTTGAGAAAACTCAACGCTGTAGGTGGGACCAGACCCCTGCGCACTGATTTTAATTCTCTTTAATTTTTTATTTTTTTTTTTCGTATTTCATTTCTATTTCAAATTTGGGAAAGAATTTGAATGTAACATTGAGGCAAATGTTGTTCAGTTTATTTTTTTTTATAAGATATGTTTGTTTCATTTTTTTTTTGCTTTGTTTTTGTTTTTTGGGGTCCTCGTTCGGCTTAGACAGCCCAATGCAAACAGTCGAACGCGTCTACAGGTGGGCCCCGAGCGTTTGGGCGTTCAGGTTCGAAAGTTCGACTGAGGACGAATGTCGGCTACCATGTATATAAACATATCAAAGATAACTGTCCAAGAACCGTAGGAAGAAAGGGCAAAGAGGACAACAAATCAAGGGCAGCGACAAACTGTTATATTAACTTATATATATAACGGTTGGCAGAGAGGGAGAAGATGACAACAAATGAGGGGCTATAACATCCATAACATTATATCTGAATTCCAAAATATTCCAAAAGATTCCAAAATTTCCAAAATATCTGAAAAACATATATGTTATGCAGAAAGGTGAAACGAATAACATGTGTCGCATGATTACATCTAAATTCCTTACCAAATGTGAAATATAAATAAAACATTAAAAAATAAAAATAAAAAAAAATAGTGAGTGGGTGAGCATGTTTTCGACACCACCATCTTTGGCAATTTTTTATTTTTTCCTGGCATAGCCAAATCCCATGAAAATTAACAGATGTGTATTTCACATAATAAAGAACTTGCAAAAAAAAATTCAAAAAATAATACAATATTTGAGGCAACCAAAAATAAAATCAAAACAAAAAGTGAAGAGTGTCCCAGCACGTTTTGACACCACCATCTTTGGCGATTTTTAATTTTGTTTTGGCTTAGCAAAATGACTTGAAACCTTATATGCATGTAGCGCATGCCATATAAAACGCAACAAAAAACATTGCAACCAAAAAAATAATGTTTAGGCCCCGAAATATTTTTTGGCGGGGAACGAACCCGTTCAGGTTCGAACGCTCGAACGTTCGAGGGTCAGCTCGGAAGCCCCTGAACGTTTGACATGATAACCATGTATGTATATATTTAATGTAAATATATATATATACATTGGTCAAGTATACTTGAGCCATACCTGGCATTTAGAATGGACAACTTTAGCAGTTCTCGAAATAGAGCAAACAAGGCGACCCTAAATCTGCCAAGCGCCACTGTTTTAGACCCTTGCTAAATTCAAACTTGCACATTTCAAAACACACATCATGACATCCACACCACTTGTCATTTGTTGCCTATTTAAAATTAAAAGTGTGCCACAACCATAGTTTTCTCAATATAGATATATATGAAAGGAGACTTCGACTCATGCCTGACTAATGTACATATGTACGTGTTGATATGAAAGTAACACAAAAGTGTGAAACTCAAGTTTGCCTTCTCCAAAGAAATGCCACATAGTTATAGAGCAATTACAAAATTCCAATTCGCAAACACCACACACCCACCAATCCAAACTTAAAACATGAAAATATAGACGATGCAACTATGTGGCTCTTCCCACATGAAGTCAAGTTTGCTCCTCCATAGCCACGATGCAATTAATTCACTTACAGTTTCTTATTCATAAACTGTCAATACATGGAACTTCTGGTCCGCAGTACAGGTGTGGTCAACACATAGTCTCCTTCTCCTGTACCCAGGAACTTGCCCTGGATAAAAGCAATTTTTCTCCATGTGTCCTTGCTTTCCACCTAGGACCTCTCCCACCCCCACCTAAGTACCTCACTATGAGCATCTGATCATGAGCTTTATCCTACAAAGAATAGAAAAAAAATCATCAACAACACAATGGCAAGTAGTCATCGCCCTACTACACATCTATGACCACCTTCTTCGCTGGCCTCTTCTCCACAATACACACTGCGCAAATTCACGAACCGGCTCGGCACCAAATTAATTTTTTTTTTCTTTATTTTTTTAAGGCGACCCTAAATCTGCCAAGCGCCACGACGGATAATAACTGGCGCAGTTTTAAGCCCCTGCTAAACTTACACATTCGAGAACTCACACCATGACACCGACATTGTGTTGCTTATGTCAAACTAAAACAGTTTCACAGGCACAGTCCCCCCCCTTGCCTCTCCCAATTTTTTTTATTTTTTTTTTTAAATGTAAGTGTAGATCTATTAGGGAAGGTGATAAGAGCAACCTACCGTAGTAGACTTAACATAGGCCGCTCCATCTATTAGTAGTGTAGTGGACCTCTGGTTGGCCTGTGAGACAAGGCCCTGACCTGTTCTCATAGGCCTGTGTTGTATTTGGGGTTGTCCAGTCCAGGCCGGTACCTCTGTCGGTACCAGTCAGTCCAGTCCAGTCCAGTCAGTCCGTTGGGGTATACCCCAGCCAGAGTCTGTATTTTGGGTCATTCTACATTCGCACAATTTGGAGTACGTGCGTTGGAGTCTCTCATGGGAGCAGCGCTATGCCATCTTGGTTCACTCTCATCCTCAATCTCCATCTCTATCCCAGGCGGAGCACCTCACCCGGTGGGTCCGCCACACAGGTATCAGAGCGGGAACGTTCCCCGCTCCCACCCACCATACCGCATAACAGGAAACATAGCCAAACTTGACATAGGTTTTTTTGGTTGTTTTTCGGTTGTTTCCAGCGAAATAGAGCGGAAAAATGTGACGGAAAGCGCAACAGAATTGACACGCGGCGAGAAAAAAGACACAAAGCCACGACGCGTGCGCACATGCTGCTGCCAGGGTTCGAACCTGGGCAATGCGCTTGCGTAGCTGCCGCGATAACACATGAGCCACAATGTGTGTATGGTTGTGTATTGCGGCACATTGGTGTTGAAGAAGTGTTGTGCCAGCTATTGGCGAGCACCGGCCAGCAGGGCAGCAAGGGCCGGGCTGTTATTTGCTCCCCTCCCCCCCCCGTGGCTTCTGCCACCTGCGCACGTGGCCATATGCAGTGTCACGTGGCAACTTGCTATGGAACTGAAGACCCCCCTGATCAGGGGGCTGCTCTTCACAGGTGAGGGTCTGCTCACACAACATACCCTGGATCTACAGTATTGTTGCTAGGGGCTGATCAAGATCTCAGCCCCCTCTCTCCTTCAGCTGGCTTGCTGCAGCGAAGGCCAACACCCTCCTCGTCTTGGTATTACGGCACCCAGCTCCACTTCTCCTTGTCTTACCATCCCCAGACTGATGGTCAGACCAAGGTCACGGAGAGGACTCTCAGAGATATTATCCGAAAGATTGTTCGTGACGACCAGCAATGGGATTTTCATCTTGCCCATGCGGAGATAGCCTACGACCACGCCGTCTCACCAGCCACGGGGATGTCGCCTTACTA